AATGAAATGCACACACAAAAGCATGATTTAATGTAATTTAAAATTTCTTTCGTTTCTGCAATTTATGTAAATGTCAAGGTAAAAACTATGTTTACCTTTAAAGATATGGCCTCCTTTTTGTTTCCAGAAAACATGGACTTTTCATCAAAATGCATAGGAAAGGACCTAGAAAAATTAGATAATGAATTAGACTTATTTAACAAAATTGTTTGGATACTAGTAATAATGCTCCACTTTCTACAATTACTTGACATATCTACAGTACCTAAAATGTTTAAAATATGGTTCAAGAATCAAAATATATATTATAGCCATACCCAGTTACATGGTTTGTCCAATTCTATAAGCAATGCAGAACAGTTAGGTACTTTTATGTTTTTTCCCCCCAAAGGATTCTTAACAAATATCCCAAAGGAAATAATATGAAATTCTTCATCATATAGCAGTTTTAGCCATAGTTCTCAATTTTGTCTTTCTCTCCAACTCTTTTATGAGACTCTCCCTTTTCTTATCTGGATGTAATGTCTTGTGAGTTTTGTAGTATGTCACTATATTCCTCCTTGCTGAATAGAAACAAATGAACACTTATAAACTAACTTTCTGACAATATAGAATATTATTATTCAAAAGACTTAGAGAGAACTCCATCCAAAACTACATACTGTATGCATATCATGATACCTGACAGATCTTTTAACAAATCTGCTACTTATAGCTATTGTCCTCAGAGTGAATTTGTCAGCTAACATAGTAGACTTGACTAAGAAACCAATGCCATAGAGCAGGCATGTCAAACTGCCGGCCCACGGGCCGGATGCATCATGCCAAAACCACGCCCACCCCATAGAGGCTAGGATTGCTTTCATTGTAACAGCTACAGTAACAGAATCTTGCAAGTCTGATTGTATTTTGTCCTTCCTCACTTTATCTTTATCTAAACTAGGGATATGCTCGTTTGACAGGGTTCAAGTTATTTTCTTGGCCCAAATTCAAATCCCTCTCACTTTAACCATTTCCTTGATAGTGGCTCTTCCTTCTGTACTTCTTTCTGAACTTCAAGGCCATTCCCTATACCTTCTATCAAATAGCGATAGCACTTAGCAATAGCACTTAGACTTATATACCACTCCATAGTGCTTTATAGCACTCTCTGAGCGGTTTACAAATGTCAGCATATTGCCCCCAGCAATCTGGATCCTCATTTTATCAACCTTGAAGGATGGAAGGCTGAATCAACCTTCAGCTAGTCAGGATCGAACTCGTGGCTGTAAGCAGAGTTAGCCTGCAATACTGCATTCTAACTACTGCACCACAATGGCTCCTATTGAAGTTCACCCAGACCTTCTAGCTTTTTCCACTGAGCTATTGCTCTCTCTGGCCCCAACATCCTGTAACACAGCTCAGCATTCTAAGATGCAGCAGTTGTCCACAAAAGCATACAGTATAACCGATTACTAGCTCACTGAATTTCACTTGACATGGCACTTTTCAACAATAATTTGATATTTCTAATCAAAACACTCCATCTTAACTAATTCAAAGGAAGAATCAAAAATGCCAAGGGATAAAATAGTCAATACTCTTATATATATATTGGCTGAGTTTATCACCAGCCAGTTTGGAGCAACCTAAAACCAATTTCCTGTATGTGTTAACCACATGTGTGATTTCAGCATAATGTTTCAGTTGGCCCTCTTTGGCCAACTGCAAGTCATCAGGATTATCTGTCATAATCCTGATGACTTGGCTATCTGCTTCAAGACATCTGACTATGTGACTAAGACAAGAAGAGCAATAGTTATGTTCTCTTTTCCTTTTGGATTAAAAAAACCCCAGGTATTAATTATTTGCACAATTTAAACTGCAGCTGGATACAAATGAGTCTTTCGTCTGGATACAAATGAGTCTTTCGTCATAGTTTTCCTTTCTGGAGAGCTTCCTTTCCATTGCAAATATCCTTTGGACTCTCAAATTGCTTCCCACATCTTGCTAAGCAAACTTGTTTGTTTTGTCGTTTAGGATTTGGGATTAATTTATTAAAGAAACCCAGTCATCTGGGACTGATTCAATAAAATATGGTTAAACAGTAGTTTAATGTGATATGTGAATTCAACCATATTTTTAGATCTGTTTTAATATCTTCATTTTCCTGCAATTCCCTAAAACTCTACTGAAATCAACTTTATTCAGTTGTCTGTATCTGAATACATACTAAAGGTGGAGACTAAAAGCACACCTACTTTGTATCTTGGAAGATTTCTAACAAGAGAGACTTAGTTTCTGTATCCTCCTGTGAATTTCCGGTATAGAGGTCCACAACTGAACGCTCAAAGTATGATGCAACCTTTGACAATGCACGCAGTTCCACCAAATATAGGAAATATAAATTTTTTAGTCGTCTTGGTCCTTCACTTTTTGTTTCACTAGGGTCAAAACGCTGGGTGAATTCTTTGACATTAGGTCCCCAACGAGGTCTTCCCCATGTTTCTGAACAAAGAAAAACAATGCTTTAAAATAAATATTAAAATTGTTTTTATGGGAATAGTGAAAGAATTAATTTCCTACAAAAAATAAAAAAATAAAAATCACAAATACCTTCAAGTAAATAGTTTGCACAAAGATGTAAGTTGATACTTGCATGAAGTCCTGAAATAAGTTTATAGAATACACGTTTTTCAAGACAAAGCCCTAGATGAGATTAAAAAATATTGTTAAAACCCAATTAATTAGAAAATAATTCAATAATCCTGTTAGAAAGTATTTTGCTATACAGGTAGTCCTTGACTTATAGCAGTTCATTTAGTGACCATTCAAAATTGCAACGGCACTGAAAAATATGACTTATGACCGTTTTTCATAGTTATGACCTTTGCAGCACCATTACATTGTGATCAAATTTCAGATGCTTGGCAACTGACTCATATTTATGACCGTTGCTGTGTCCCAAGGGCACATGATCACCTTTTGTGACCTTCTGACAAGTAAAGTCAATGGGGAAGCCAGATTCACTTAACAACCAGGTTACTAACTTATCAGGTGCAGTGATTCACTTAACAACTGTGGCAAGAAAGGTCGTAAAATGGGCAAAACTCACTTAACAAATGTCTCACTTAACATCATAACTTTTGGGCTCAATTGTGGTCATAAGCTGAGGATACCTCTAATAGTTCCACCTTGAAGAAAGTGGAAGTTTTGCTTTTTGAGATTGGCAGTATCCCACCGGGATAGATACAAAAGGGAAATTTTGCTCCCTTCAACTTTGCAACTTATGGAGATGAGTTCTGGAGAACTGATGGGACTATCTAGAACAGCACAGACAACTGCAGGAAGTATCAGAAAAGATTTTCTACTAACAGGATCACTTAGCACAGTGATTCTCAACCTGTGGTCTGTGGACCCCTGGGGGTCTGTAATGTCATCACAGGTGGTCCGCAAAGGCTTGAAGAAATATTATGATTTAAATTTTTAGTTAAGTCTTTGGTGGTCTGTGGCCACAAAAGGTATTTAAAGGGGGTCCAGGGTGAAGAAAAGGTTGAGAACCACCGCCCTAGCTGATCGAAAGCTTTCTATAGCTGGTAAAATATTTTTCATTCATTCAAAGATAAGCTCGAAAAGCTAGAGAAAAACACATTATTTCCATTTCTGCCTTATTTCCACTAATCACTTTCCAAGTTAGAACATCTTAGGAAAAGCACATTGTGTTAAAAATGCTAATGGATCTTTTCCTTTAACAGGCAAAGAGCAGAAACGGATAGTGCCAGATCCAAGGTTTATTACAGTTCTGTCACATAATGGAAAACAATGGTTTTGTTTTATATTTAAACCATACAACAAGATGTATCCAAAGTGGGTGAATATCACCAGATTAGAGAAATTGATCAAAGCAATCCACTGATAAGACATGCCTTGAGTATAGGAGATATTGTAATATTTTAGATAATATTTACAACACTTGATTTGAATAATAAAATCAGTACTATTATATTTCATTCAGAACTGTAGTAATCATGTTACTATTTTTTTCCATTTATATGTGAGTGTGATTCTTGGCTCCTATGCAAAATTGACCTAGAGCTTGGAGATTAAAAAAAGAGCTGAGCAGAGCATTCAAAATATGTGCTTTGTAAAGAAGGTACTTTGCAAAACTTATTAGAATGAGTGAAACACTTCTGGAAACAACAGGCCAGCCATATCCTTTTAAAGGCTGAGACTTCAAAGCATTATTTCAAATGCTATCCTGGCAGATACATGCAGAGAACTGGGATGTTCAAAATAACTGCACTCGCTGCCATGGCTGCCATGTTTGCTTCAAGATTTTAAAGAGAGACATTTTTTCTTCAATTAACATGATTTGCAAGGCATATCTTTTAAATGTTTTGCACAGCCCTAGTCAGTGGTACACATTAATTTCACGATTGAAAGCATTTAGTAAAAATGACCAAGTCTTGCAAAATCAACAGGGTTTTTTTTAGCTAACAGGTTGATTGTTATATATTTTTTCCTGGAATAGGAATGCATTCCTTAATCTTTAAATTTATTACATAGAGAGTTTGCAGTTTTTCATTAGAATTTTGACATGATACCAAATTTACCTTCTAGCCATGTATAAAAAGATTCTCCTGTGAACACAAAAATAATTAATTTCAAATAAGACCTAAACATATCTAATCATAAATACTTTGAAAATCTAAATTCACAGCATACTCCAAAATACATATCAAAATTATCTACCCTTTCATCTAAAATTTGTGATAAAACTGAATCTTGATGTACCACTTCACTGCTGCTCATTTAAATTCTTAAATATTTATTTCTCAAGTTGAGAAAAAAGTTTCAGATGTTTTAAATCTGATTCATGCTTATTTAAAGGAAGTCGTAGTAGTTGAATTTCTATAAAGATCCCTGGAATGTAACTGAACATCAGGAAACGTAAACTTCATTCTAATCTACTTTGCTGGACTTCACGAATTCAATAAAGATCCCTAGAGAATTACAGTATACATGGCAATTTTTTATGTATATCAATTATTAGCAGCATCTATTAATCATGAGAAAGGGATTACTAGTCCTAGATA